AGGAAGTGCCATTCTGGGTCACATTCCAGAGGGGACAATGGCCGCAGCACAAAGGAGCTGACTCATGGCAAGTAATCACTTGCTCCAGCCTATGGGGCACCTTAAGTTCTTCAGAGAACCTCCTCTTGGGAAGGACAGTTTCAAGACAAAGGTGGCAGACAGGTAAACATCATGCAAGTGGACAGGCTTCGTGCTTGCAGTATCTCCTTTGCTTATTGCTACAGCCTCAAGATCCACCAAGCAAAAGGCACATCAAGATCCTGAGCCCAGGAATTTGCTCTGTCTACTGGAACTAAGCACCCCCCCAAACCCCCCCCACTGTTCATCACCACTAGAGATGTAATAAGCCCCTTTGCAGCTGAGAACCTGTGGCCTCTATTTCTTGCGTCACATAGTTCCTGTGCCTGACACACTTGCACAAATCTGCTGACATGCATTGCTCCCTTCTTGTGAGGGTTGCTTGGTTCTGAGACGCATCCCCAGAACTTTTGGGTTCCACGATGTCATAAAGAATGAGCCCAACTTGCCTTGCTTGCTGTTTTTCAAAAAACTTGATCCGGCAGTACTGTTTGGCTGACCGCCACCTCCCTTGCTTCCTCACAACCCCTGCCAAAGGCAAGGAAACGTTCCTAGCATGTCCTTCACATAAGTCAGGGAAACATTACCTTCATGCAAGTCAGCTTGCACATAGGGTTAACAAATGAGAAATGAGGGGGGCATTGCATATAGCAGCAGGCTGGGTCAATGCTGTGGAAAACAAACATGAGAGAGAAAAGCTGAAGGAAAGGCAGAAAGGCTACGTGCAGAGATAGCTGGTGACTTTGGGAGCTTGAGGAAGCTATCAGCACTGCAAAGTACAACTTATCCCAAGCAGTGTGCCAGCAAGGTCACGAGACTGAAGTAGCCAAGGTAGGCACCCATGGCAGGCATGTGCTCCTTTAAAAAAAAAATCTAGGTCTTTATGCTACTGGGACTTACAACTCCAGCTCCACGAGGTCTATATTTAAGCAAATATAGACAAACACTACAGAAAGCTGACAAGGCCCCTTGACTCTCCCACCTTTTCTTCTTACCTAGTACAGTATCTAAAATAATCTCCAGATGGGTTAATAAAAAGACTACCTAGTTTCTTTCTGTGGTCTGTTGGTAAGAGAAGCCTGTGTGCTTCATTCAGGATGAGAACATCTCTGAATAACATCTGGATTGTATATTTCCAAAATGGGACAGCCAACATTCCCCGCTTCCAGTTCCCAGCACCCCTAGGGCAGCTCCAGGCCCAACCATTTCATGTCCTGCAGAATCATAGAATGGTAGAGCTGAAGGGGCCAGAAGGCGATTGGGTTCAACCCCCTGATCAGTGCAGGACTCCCAGTTAAACCATCCCTCTCAGAGGGCTGCCCAGTTGCATCTTGAAAGCCCCTAGTGTGGGAGAGCCCACAGCCTTCCTAGATAATTGGTTCCATTGTCATATGGCTCCAACAGTCAGGAAATTTTTCCTGACATCTAGCCTGAATCTGGCTTCCTGTAACTTGAGCTCATTATTCCATGCCCTATACTCTGGGATGACTGAGAAGAGATCTCTTTCCTCTCTCAAGTACTTGTGGAGTGCTAACCTAATCTGAACCTAATTTGAATATCCGCAACCCCCCATGCATGCACATTCTCTTGGGATTTGAAACTTGCAGATGTTCTGATTTCACCATCTGGGAGATCCCACCCACCCCCGCCCTCTCCTATTGCCTGACCTCATCCCTCCTGGTTTTTGTAACATCTTACCTGCGGAAGAGCTCTGCACAGTTATCTTTTGGTTGACCTAATAAAGGCATTACACTAATATGCATTTTGGTCATCTCTGTAATATATTGTGCTATAGATGTTAATTGGTTAACCAACTGATTATATTGCCGCTTCCCCATTGTTCATTTGTGTTCATTGTCTCCACATCTTTCATTTTATTCAGGGTGATGCCTACACCATGGTGCAGCTAATGCTGGACCTTGGGGCCAAAGACTAGGATCCTGCATCACCCCCTCAGTTGACCACCTGGAGAGTGGCAGGTAATAAGACCATCAGGGCAGCAGAAGCAAATTCCATTCTATTCCTATAATCATGAGGGTGCTATAATTTACGTGAGCTTAAAATGCAAAACCACCCATACCTGAAGTATTTTTAATAGCAGGGTTGGCAAACACCTTAACATATAAGGAGTATAAAGCAGTTGTCAGGCATGGAATGGCAGCTGTAGGGGGAAAGAGAGGTGCTAACTGTGCGCTTCACAAATCAAGTGAATTGATCACAAGGCTACCAAACTCCCCCACCCGCCTCCCGCACCCCCCAGTTGCAAGACAAGAAGTCTAGCTCCAGCTGCATCACTGGGCCGAGTGAAGTTCCCATGCCCTTGCTTCGTGCCCCCTCCCTGCCCCCTGAAGTGACAAGGTTACCTGTCCCCCTCCATTGCTCTGCCTGGGCTCCTCCTGCTGCCACTTTCCAAGGCTCCGCAAGGCACGACACTTTTCATTAACTATTACTGAGTGGCGGCTTCATGTGTTTCTCCTGGTTCTGTCACCATGACAGCAGCGCAGAGAGGCCTGCAGGCTGCATTACTGCTGCCATTGTCGTTCCAGTGCCCCCCCCCCCCACAGCCCCGACTTGCGTCTCTCTGCAGTCAGGAGTGGCAACTGTCAGCTCTGCAGAGAGCACATGGCAGAGCAGAGGCAACAGGCTGCTCTGCCCCTGCCCGGAAACCAAGGGCCAGGCAGCAACTCCAGGGCACTAGCACAGACTCTTCTGGGGCCGTGGCAGGCAGAAGGCCCCACACTGCGTCCCACAGCCTTGCCAGGCAGGACAGGAAAAGTTCCTGCCTGAAACCCTAGAGAGTCACTGGTCAGCACTCCTGGGCTGAGATGGCCCCAGGGCTTGCCTCTGATTAAGGCAGCTGCCTCTCACCTGCAGGGCGAAATGTTTAGGCCGGGGCAGGTAGGCACTGACATAATCTTGCCACTTGTTCTTCTGTGCTGGCCCCAAACATGAGCCAGAACAAGCAGGTGGTGCTGCATTGCCCTTCACAAGCAGCTCGGAGAAAAGCTTTTTATGTCTTTTCGGCCCTGGTACTTGTGACTGTTTAAAGGCTATTCAGACTATGCCATGTGAGGGATGTTGAGGTTACGAGCTTTGTGTGGAAAGGCTACCCTGAAGAAAGGGTAAGGGTGAAAGGGCAGGCTCTGCCCCCTCAGGGGGGCTGCTAGGGAATCCCATGGTATCATCCACCACTCCTTCCACACAGGCTCTTTGCACTGGCAACGGTTGGGGGTGGGGGCAGGTTTGGCCCTTTGCTGATCATGACCTTACACCATTTTAGGGAGAAAGAGTTGCTGACACATCCTGCATTGGGTTCTTGGGTGTGTTCCCTGGCAGACACCCGTGTGGGTTTACTGGAGAGGCAGAGGGGCAAGCCCTCCCCAAATAAAGGTACAAGAAGGCCTGCAACAAATGCTTGTTTTTCCCTGCTGTTAATCTCCACACCCTCTTCTTGGGGAAACCTGGCACTTCCACGATGCCTGCAGGTACCTTCCTCCTGTGAGTAGTTGACAAGAGACACTCAAGACAAAACTGGACAGTCTTCTGAGTGGGTTGGTGTAAATTGGTGTCCTGCAACAGCAGGAGGTTGGCTGTGATGGCCTTCTTGATCCCTTCCAACTCTACTATTTTGTGTTCTAAGGGCAGTCCTAGGTACCAAAAAGATCTTGGGCTCAGGTCCAAAGCACAAAAAAGCACCTATTTACATATGCTCTGAAGTGTGTATGTCTTTAAGGGGCCTCTCCCCTAAGGACACCCCTATTTATAAATAAATATATATATGGGGGAGCGAAGGACATTTAATTTCAGGAAAAAACTGCGGAAAGGTTCAAATGGATAGCAGCAGGAAGTGAAGCCTATGTGGGCAAAACCAAAAACCAAACCCAGCTTGTCCAGGGGGATCAGATATAACAAAGATCACCAAGGACTCCTGTTCCTTTATTTCAACAAGTGCCCATGTGTAAGGCAGATCACCTCCCAGAGATTCAGGGCTCCAGCCCTCCTGGATTCTCCCTCACCCACCTCTGATAGAAGTACTGTTTTGGTTATTAAGGATCCACTCAGGGTAATGGAATTCACTATTGGTATAGGTTTTTTCTGAAGGTCTCCAGAACCCAGGTCCTGAGATTTGCAAACCACCCTCTACAGAACCCTGAATGGACACGCACAGCTTAGGCCACCTGGGTCTTTCTCCCAAGCTTGAGCGGCTGCGGGTTTTTGGAGGGTTTGCTGGATTCTATACACCAAGATAGAATCTAGGAATAGACCTTCTCTTGCGTCTGTGTGGAAGGCAGCGGAGGTGGGAGGAAGGAGGCTATGTATGAATCAAGGCCTCCGTTCCAGGGACTATTCTTGGCTCGGGAAGCGTGGAAAGAGCGATCACGGATTTCGCGGTGGGGGCTGGGAGCACAAGGCCTCCCCGGCTCTTCTGCCGGACTCTTCCGGCTTGGCGCCCCCTTTTCTCCGGTTGCCCTCACGCGTCCGCGTGCTGCGCCGAGGCTGCACCCGTGACGTAGCGAGAGCGAGAGACCCGCCCGGATCGGAAAGGACGGGGAAGAAGCCCAGCAAAGCTTGGCAGGAAATTCCAGCCAGGAGCAGAAAGGAGCTCCCAGGCCGGGATCATCCTCAGCCAGTCTCCCCGTGCGATGGTGGTGCTGCCGCCACCTCCGCCAGAAGGATAATCGTGTCTCAGCCAGCCCACTCCGGACAGTCCCGGCGCCGCGGGATTTCTCCGAGGAAAGCCCCACGAGGTTGCAAACCCCCCAGAGCGGGCAAGGAAAGGCTGGCAAGTGCCAGGGCCGCCGCCAGAGCGGGGGGGGGGCGGGCGGGAGGGAGGAGCCAGAGGGCGGGGCCGGTGGAAAGCGAGCTAGGCAGGAGCTGGAGAGAAGAGAGAGACGTGTGAGCGCTTGCGGCGAGGGAGACAAAGGGAGAGCCCCGGCACCGCCCGCGTGGAGGCTGCGGCGACGGGCAATGGGCAAGGCGCGAGCGAGCGAGCACGCAGGTCGCCACCGCGCTCCCTGATCGCGGGCAGAACGAGCGCTCCTCCTGGGCTGCGCGTCCCCACCGAGCAGGAACAAAGGCTGCGGGATGGCTCTGCCGCCTGCCAGAGATGGGGCTCTTACGGGCGATCCCTGATCTCAGCACTGGAAGTGACGGTGAGGAGGAGGACCCCTGCTCCAGCCCTGTCCGACCAAGGCGAGGTGGCGGCGATCTCCCAGGGCTCCACGCTCAGCCCCCGATCTCTTCTTCCCCCACCTCGCCCTAAAACGGGCGGAAGGAAGGAAAAGCCATCCGATCTCGCCTCTCCACGTGCAGCTACCCCTCCAGGTGCCCGCCGTAGGATGGATCTCCTTCTTGCCCCTGCGCCCCAAGCAAGGCGGCAGGGAAGACCATGTGAGGCTGGAGCTTCGTTGCCGCCTGTTGCTTGGCCACCTGGGGACTTGGCATAGCCGCGGAACGTGGCAGGGTTTCTCGTGGCTGGCAATGGACTTGCTAAGAGGCGATTGGCAGTATGGGGGAGGAACAAAATAACGGGGGGTGGGGAAGAAGCGGGGAGTAGGAGAGAGGCGGAAAAAAACCAGCGCGCTCTCGTCTGCCAGGGTGAACGCGCGCTCCTCGCACTGGGGACCGCGTGTGTGTGTGTGTGTGCGTGTGCGCGCGCCCGTGCAAACCGTGCCGCAAGCGTGTGGATGCATGGAGTCCAGAACCGGAGCATTGTGTGTTGACCGAGACCGCTGTTTCGGCCTGTGGGCGGGTGGATGGGGCACTGCCTCAAAAGCAACGCCATCCCGAAGACTGAGCACAAGCTCTGAGCATCGGGGGATCCTTGGTGGTGTTTCTGCGAATGACAGAGGAGTGCGAGATGGATCCCACATAGGCCTAGTTTGCTGCTCAGAGGCAGCAGCAAGGGCAGGGCAGGGCAGGGCAGGGCAGGGCAGGAGGCGGCTGGGCGGGATGCACTGAGCTGCATTCTGGAAAGAGAAGCAGAGAAATTTCCTTTTGTAAACTCCAGGGGATGGATGTAATAGTGCCAAAACTCAGATGAGACATCAGGCCTGGTCTCTGCAGTCTTCCCCAACTAGATGTGTCTTCCTGGATCGCTGGGCATGCTGGGAGGTGTAGTCCAACACATCTGGAGAGCTACCAGATGGAGAAGGCTGTTGTCCCCTGTGTCTTTTTGTGTACTTGCCTGTACACATCCATTCATCTGCCATGCCTCTGGGTGGCATTCAGTGGCTAAGAAGGTGTCAGTTTTTAAATTGGCTTCTGGGGCTTATTTTGTGCCAGGGCTCAGCTCTGGGAACTGCTTCAAAACCAGAACTGGAACCTGGAATATGGAAAGTAATAATATGGGAAAGTGTGTCACCAGAAGCCTGTACAGACTGCCTCCACCCAACAAAACGGGAATGAATGGGCAGGATGTTTAGGCATTGCTTTCAGGCAGGGCAGAACCGGAGCAGCTTTCAGCAGAACTGCCGCCTTCTACTGCTAGATGTCTCCTCAGGCCGGGTGGCTGCAGCTTATCTTCAGGGGAAGGTGGAGACCTGCTGCACATGCTCAGGGGCTGCTTTAACCTCATGTGCATCAGGGCTGACCTTAGGCTTAAGTTAAGCCTTAACTGTGTGTGTGTGTGTGTGGTGATGCTGCTTGGGTAGGAATGTTTCTGTGTGCTGACCGCTTGTCTTGGATTTGAGCTCTGTCAGGTCGTCTCTGTAGCCTGTCAGAAGGTTTTGCATTCTGTCTGGAAGCTCCCCCGCCCCCTCCCCCCATGCTGACTGGGATGTATGTAACCCCACTTGGCTGTGAGTGGGGGCTGCTGGTGTTGCATGCATGGATGAGCAAAGCTGATGTGTGAAGGGAAACCACAGTGAGAAGCGATGGCAGGGGTTGGGGATAGAGAGCTGCAGAGAGGCTGTTGCAGCCGGAGCTAGACTTAGCATGTTAGCTGTAAAGTCAGCATGTCTCCTGGAGTCAACATGTGGTCCGGCTGAGCTGGGCAGTGTATGCTTAGTGACCCCTTTACTGGGAATTATACTGGAAAGGCAAAGAAGGCCAGTGACCAAGCACCGTCGGAGGTATTGGCTGCCACTCAGCAGTCCCCATTCAGGATGGAGGGGGCTTGAGTCTGTAACCACTTCAGGTGCTCTTCAGGGTGGCTGTGAAGGGTGGCTAGTCCTTTGATGCAGTGCTGCTCGCTGCTCTCCCAAGTCAGCACAACAGGCCCGTCTTTCTGCTCTGCCTGTCCTAGATGCAAGGCATACGCTGGCCCAGCTTCACGCTGAGGAGGAGGTCCTTGCCAAGATGCTGCCAAGTCTTTACTCTGACATTTATTGTCGTGATCTGTACAGGAATCTGCATTGCCCTGCACAGCATCACTCGTCCCTTTTCTTTTAGGGGGAAGGGAAGGATTGGATTCATAGTCCCTGCTTGAAAGCATGCATGTCCTCCCCCTTCTCTCTCTCTCTCCCTCTCTCTCAAAAGCAATGTAGTTGGTGATATAAGCAAACCCTCCTAACACAGTCAGACCCATCTTACTATGAGCTTTAAGAAACCACTGGAAGATATTATATATAAAGGTGGGTTGGATTGCAAAGAGCTATCCTGATTTCTGCTGCAGCATATAGTGCGGCTATCTGCACAATTTAAAAAAAAATCCCTTTGAGTGGAATGCTAAGGCAGCCTGTCTTGAACAGGCCTTAGCGCTGTTGATGCACCATAGCAGCCTTTCCCAACCTGGTGTACTCCAGAAGCTTTGGACTTCCACTTTCACCATGCATGGCCATGGCTAGGAATGCTGGGAGTTGTAGGCTAAACCATCGGGAGGGCATCATGTTGAGTGGAAGGACTCCCAGATAATAGCGGCTTACTGTGTGCCAGTAGGATCACTGGGAGCATAAGAGTCCTGCTGGATCAGACTGGAAGCCCATCAGGTCCAGCACCCTGCTTCCCACAAGGGTCAACCATATGCTTGCATGGAGAGCTTGAAGGCCTCTTCTCCTGGTACCTTCCAGAAGCAGAACTGAGAGGCATCACTTACTGTTTTATGACCACCTGTATTTGGAGCTTTTGGCTGTGAAGGTGGGCACAGAGTTAATCTTGTTTTGGTTTCTGTTAGCTAGGGTTACACTTCACTCAGCTACAGCAAATATTCAGACAGATCTAAACAGCTCTGTGACCGCTTGTTTCTGGCCAGCATCCAACAATATCCAGAATCAAGGCTGTTCCAGCCAGCAGTCTTGTCCTTGTCCCAGAGTTCTCTGCACTCTGCATTTAGAAAGAGACTGCAATCTTGTTCTCCTTCTGAAATAGTCCTGACCAAGGCTATAATCCACACCAACCTTTCCAAAAAGTCAACAGTTAACTAAGGTAACTCAGATTGGATTATCAGGAAGGACAGGCGTTGCTTATGCAAGTCAGAAGAGCTATCTGGATGGGCTGGTGGCCTGCCTCATGGGGCATAGTTTACAGTAGCATTCATTCAGTAGTAGATTGCACCTAAACAAATGCTTTAGGTGCAATCTTTAGCAATCATGTAGGCTAGTTTTTCTTCTAGTCCATGGGACACACAAATAGCTCTGTGGGGTATTGCAACCCTTCCTTGCCACTGAACCTCCTGCTCAGTTCTCACTCTGGCTTTTGATACTTGACAGATTTATCTGCTTATGCCATTTATAGCATACCTGTACATTTATAGCATTTCCTCCAAGGAACTCAGGTCAGAGTATCTGGCTTTCTCCATCTGAACTTCACAACCATCCTGTGACATATGTTAGGCCGAGAAATAGTGAGTGACCCCAATCACCCTGTGAGCATCACAGCTCAGTGAGTATTTGAACCCATATCTCCAAGGACCTGCACTTGAACCAGTGTGCACACACTGGCTTTTTCAGGGTGTTGCTCTCATGCTTACAGGCCTTCGTCCATAGTTAATAAGGGTGAGAAAGGGTATGTGTTTTACACTGGATTTCACAGACTGCTGGATTTTGTTCCCATTACCAGACCTTACCTTTGTACAATGTGACAGCTAGCTGTTGACCCTTGCTCACTCATTTTTGTGGGCTTCCTTGACAGAAGGATTTCAGGGTTTTGTTTTGTTTTTTTGTTTTTTCGTTTTTTTTGCTTAAATGAACAAATCTTGGAAATAGTAAAGGAAAATGCTTTGCCTTGAGCATCTGTAGGTAGCCTCTCCTTCTTGCAACATGGGCAGCAATGAAATTGCTCTTCCTGAACTTTCTGAAATACAATGATATTTTCTTGATGGAACCACCAACTAGGATGAGTGAGTTCAAATATTCTGAACACAACTGACCCAATCATTTGGGTCTGTTTCACTTCTTCCTTTCCTAGTTTGTGATCACAAGTTGTCTGTCTATTATATTTCTGTCTGGCCTTATTACTGCAACAGACCCACGGTGATTTACATAATCCTCCTCCTCTCCATTGTATCCTTGCAACAATGCTGTGAGGTAGAAGACTTGCCCAGAGTGAGCTTCAGGGCCAAGCAGGGACTGGAACCCAGACCTCCAGAGTCCTAATCCAACGCTGTAACCATTAGGCCACACTTAGTTGACAGTCTGTCTCTGTGTTTTATAATGCATTCAGGTATGTTTTGCCATAAACTGCCTAGAGAACATTGCTTGTTGGCTAATACATCTGTATCAAAATGAAACATTTCCTCTAAAGTGAAGGCATGGGAAGTCATGCTTCATTTGAGCCATGTCTGAAACCAAGGTGGAGTACTTGGGACCATTGTATTATCAGAAGGGTAAGCACAAGTGAAAAGGATGCAGAGGACAACTGCAGATGGCAAAATTCAGACATAAAGCTATGTTATAAGACTATTGAGGGGAAGACATCAAGTTGCGGAGGACTGCTTTAAGTGCAAGATACTTGGGACATTTGGGGAATTTGTTGTGGAATCTGCAACGTCTGTGTGTTGAATGGCTCTTGCAAGTGTTGCTTTCCCCACCTTTTGCTATATAAGCAGTGGGCAGAAGATAAACAGATGCCCTCTAGAAGACCAGTGGCCAAGTTCTTGTATTTGACTCAAGTGTTTGCTGGGACTCTATAAAAGACTACTAGGCTATGTGGGCCATATATTGATCCAACAAGACATGTGTTATGTCCTTAAGCAAAATAACCTTTTCAAGATCAAAGATTATATATACCTTAATTATTAAGAGATTCCACCCATGTATTCCTGTTTTGTGCAAGTTCCCCCGCATTGCAGGGGTGCTAGGAGAAATGAACTAGATCCACCCAAGACTGAAGCCAGTCTGTCTCTGAAGCTAATTTTAGTGGCTGCATTGGGTTCTGATGGCCAGGAGGAGGTTGCTTAGTCTTAATAGGAAAAAGGAGTAGGTGTGTGATGGTGGTGGTGGGGATTAATTCTGCTTAGGTCTGCTTGACTTTTTCATGCCTTAAGAAAGTGAGGAATGTTGGTAGCCCTGTTGGAAGGGACAGCAGAAGCTGGGTATGTCTCTGGTTCCGGCTGCTGGGGAAAATGTGAGAATGGGGTGGGGGTGCTTTTGCTCTCAGGTCCTGCTTGTGGGCTTCCCAAAACCTCTGGATGGTGAGTGTGGGAAAAGAATGCTAGGCTGGCCTGCTCTAGCCCAGCACTTCTGCTCTTATGAAGCTTCATCAGTGAGAGGAAACAGACCCGGCCCTGTTTTGCAGGGATTATAGCTAGTTGCTCCTGGGTAGGATAAAGATGTTGGCATATTTAGGGTAGACCTATTGAAATCAGTGAAGCTTAAGTCCCGTTGATTTCAGTGAATCTGCTCTGAGCGTGACTAAATCTGAGTCCAATTCCGCCGAGTATAGAGCAGGGTTGAGGACTTGCAGCCCAAGGCCCTCGTGAGGCCCTTGTGATTACTTCAGGCAGACTTTGCTCCATTTGGCTTTAGGTTCTTCCTCCCCTGAGCATCGGTACTGTAGTTGATAAGACTCACATCCTCAGCTCTGCCCACTTTTGACTCCGGCCCATCCACTACAGAAAAAGGGAGTTCCACCTCTGCTTTGCTCAGAATGGTTTGATTCTAGCAGGTACTATTAAGTAATGCATTTCTTGAAAGCATTTCTTGGCTATGATATCAGAGGCCATAGGTGAGCAGATTAGTATTTTCCCAGTGAGAATTCCCTCCTTTGTGTCGTCTAGGGGTGCTGATTTATTATGCACTGGTAATAAAATGTGAGGGTGAGACAGAAACCTGCACCTGCAGAAAGAAACCTTGTCACATGTTTCACTCAAGAGGCTAGGCCTTTGGGATTTTAAAACTAGAGGAAGTCCAATTATAAAACTGTACCACTTGAGCTCGCAGACACCCTCTGGTTGCCCTTTGAAGCATATGCACTGGAGAGATTCTCCATTTGGTGTATCTTGGGAGCAAAATAGCCTGAAATGAATGTGCCTGGTGGCCTAGCTTCTAGCAGCCACCGGAAGAACTGATACTAATTAGGAAGAAGGTGTGAGGCAGTGGGGAGCTGGGTTTTTCTCTGCAAGCACTGAAGCTAGGCTGCTAGGATCCCGTGCGTGCTTGCTTGCTCCAGAGTAAAATTGTATGCCTCCGCATTATAGAAGGGACTTTGGCAGTCATTTCTGTGCATCCATGTCTGGGTTTGGGGTGAGGGAAAGCATAAAACGAAGTGAACGCTTCTTGGAAACTTTGCTGCTGTGCCGTGCGGTGAGCAGTCTCTTGCGGGGGGAGGCTGTGAGTTGTGTGGGCAGGCGGCTTCTGGGGGATTGCTGCAGAACAGATGAGTGTAGTTGGGCTGCCAGGGCCATGAGGAGCAGATGTCAGGCCGTGCTTGGGCCCTTGAAGCTTTGCCGTTCTCTCAGCTCTTTTGGCTGCCTAATTGGATGCTTTGTGCTTCAGCTTTCTGGAGCCCTGGCCAGCTCTTCCTTGCCAGAGCAGTTACATGTCAGGGGTTTTGGCTTGCTGGTGGTCCTCCTGGCACTCATCAGCCTTGTATAAAAGCAGCTTACCCAACTCATGCTGGCTGCAGCTGGAGAGTTGTACTTCAAAACATCCGGGGTTGGTTCCATGATCTGCCTTCCCTGAAAAGAAAGCCTGAGTTTGTGGACTGTTTCTGTGCCTGGGTTTTGGGGATCCCTCTCCCCAAAATTCCACATCAATGCATTTGGCAGGGGCTCCTGACTCTCTGTGTGGTGTTTTTAAGGGGCTGGAGGGGCTGCTGAGAAAAGGAGGGTGCAGGGAAGTCCACTTCCACCAGGGTAGTTGACTGGGCATAAACCTGGATCCAGTTCTTGGAGGACACCAGGCTGGGGCAGGCTGAGCTCGGGCAATGAGGCGCATGGGCTTCTCCTGGAAGACCACGTGCGTGCTGGCCGGATCATTCATGCAGTGTGCAGCATGTGTGTGAACACATGCAACTCGGTGTGTGGGCAGCACTGTGGCTGCATGAAGAGGATGCCTGTAGTAGACCCACATGGTGGAGCTGGCCTAGATTGCTGGAGGAGGAGGTGGCTTAGCTGTGGGGAGGGTGTGTGTGTTTTACATCTAACCGAGCAAGAACCATTTCCCTCTCCGTTGTTCTTGCTTGGCGATCCAGCCCATGGTTTTCTCATTGTCTGTTTGCATCCAGGGTATGCAGTGCTCCCCTCCTTGAACTTTCATTGGCAGTTTGCTCATGATAGCTGAGGAAGTGGTTGGTGGACACGGGGCGTGATCTGCAAACTAGCATGAGTCGGGTCGACCCAGCTACACTCACTGGCATTGTCTGTCTGTTTGCAGGGCAAGAGCTCCTGTCAGCATTGCCTCTGGCCCCTGAAAGCCCTGACCCCGCAATGGGAAGGAGCTGGGCAGGGTGCTGGTGTTACTGGTCGTGTCAGCCCAAGTATCCAAGAACTCAGGAACTCGAGGAAGAGAGGACAGGCCGTGCCCGGGAACTTCTCCAACACTCTCCTTTCCCCCACTGGGCTCCTTCAGGAGCCAGAACTCCCGCATCTTCTTGAAAGGCTGAAGTTTGTCCCTGCATCCAGTCAACCATTCCCATGGCAACAGCTGCAGAGAGCATGCAGGAAGCTGCGTGACTAGAAGGGGCCGAACTGCTGCAGCACACGGGGCTCGACTCACCGTTCCACCAGCCCTTGACCAAAGTGGTGCTGATGGCGGCCCTGGACTGTGGTGTGGGCAAGTGAGGGACCTGGGCCGTCTTGCAAGGAGAGGCCGCACACATTCCCGGTAGGAGAGCAGAAGGGCAGGTTGCATGATCCCACCAACATGACTGGGCGACCGGAGAGACGGGGACAGATTCAGCCACAGAAGGCAGCCAGGTCCTGCCGTTTTTCAGAAGAGATCTGAGACCAAGCCTCCCCACTCAACTGGAGCTGAAGAAGATCCTTGGTTTCAGCACGTGTCAACAGCAAGCTCTAGGGCTTCCACCCGCCCCCTGGAGCAAAGATGGTGATGTCCCACGGCACCTACACGTTCCTCACCTGCTTTGCTGGCTTCTGGCTGATCTGGGGGCTCATTGTGTTGCTATGTTGCTTCTGCAGCTATCTGCGGCGGCGCATGAAAAGGCGGCAGGAGGAGCGGCTGCGGGAGCAGCACCTGCGCACACTGGAGATGGAGCCACTGCACTATGAGGGCTACGGAGGCCCTGCCTACGGGGGCCATGCCTACGGAGGCCCTGCCTATGGAGGCTCTTCCTACGGAGGCCCCGCCTATGGGGGGGGTTACATCAGAAGTCCGCCAGGCATAGCTGTGCCCCACCGCCTCCGCCTCGAGCCCCACCGTCCTCACCTTCCACTCCCAAGGCCTTGGAGCTGCAGGCACGGTAAGGGCAAAGGGAGGACATGGCTGGGCAATGGAACCAATACTTGGTAGGAGGGTTGATCAGGGTGGATGGATTTTTCTGGGGATATTGGTGGCCTGCACTTGGAAACGGCTGCATTCAGCCAACTGAAACTCTCATTCCTTCATAGGCTGCCCAGTTTCTGCTCTTTTAGCATGGCGAAGTGAGTCACACTTAACTTAAATGGTTGAAGTTATTTGATCAGCAGTCACACTTCATCTCATGTTGGGCAAGATGTCAGGATGCTTTTTCAAGAATGTGGTGGGGTAGGAAGTCCCCTTCCAGGAAGGTATAGGTATCAGTTCCCCAGTCCTTGACTCTGTTTGCTCACTCACTAAATGTGGCCTTGGGTATCATCAGGTCGATTCTTGGGCCATGACTGCACCATTTATTGGGACCTTCCTTGAAATCCAGATAGGGGGACCATGTAACTCTCCAGCTGTTGTTGGACTGTAATTCCCATCTTCCTTCACCAACTAAGACTAATGAAAACTGATGTCCAACTATACTTGGAGGGCCACACCTTGCCTGCCACTGCTCCACACATTTCCTCTGTTTCACATTATTAGTGCAAGCTACCCTGGTAGGTTTGTTGACCCATCAAGCACAGCATTTCTTACCAATGACCTTGCTAGTCAGGGCAATGGTAAAGTTGGGAGTCTAGAACAGGTTAGGGAAGGCTACAGTAGGGTTGGAAGACAATTGCTTGCTGTTTCCCCATCCCCAAGGGGCAAACCTTATTCCGTGCATGATCCCAATTTCCTTGCTCAACAGTTGTGCTCATTCTACTTGCAGAGCCAGATCCATCCAAGCCCCCCTGCTATGAAGAGGCCGTGTTGATGGCTGAGCCCCCACCGCCTTATAGTGAAGTCCTGACAGACACACGAGGCTTGTACCGCAAAATCAACGCCCCCTTCCTGAGCCACGAGCAGCCAGAGAAACAGGAACAGCCCCCCAGCTATAAGCCCCTCTTCCTGGATCGGGGATATGGCTCGGCCCTCCATTTGCCGAGCTCCGCCAGCCGGGGCCCCACCTGCACCAACCTCTACTTGGAGTCGGAGCATGCGCAGCGCATCTTCCCCAGCTGGACAGACTCAGAACTCAGCACCAGAGACAGCTATGAGCCGGGGCCCTGGCAGCTGCCCGTCTCAGTGCCTTTGTTGGGCAGGACTACGGCAGTTTAGCAGGCTGCGCTGCAACCAGAGTGGGACGGTGGTTGGCGCACAGAAGCTGGATCCTGGCAGCCTGTTCCCTGGGCCTGCAAGAGCCACCCAGTCCCTTAGTCCGAGCCTTCCAGCCATGCCTGGGCCACAGGCCTCCACAGTGCAAAGACTCCAGTTGCTATTGACCTCTTCTTGGCCATGGTGGGGTTGGGGCTGGTCTCCCCAGCTCACCTACTTCCCTTTTTCTGGGCCCACTCCAGGCTCTGTTGGTGCTGACTGCAAGGGGGCCTCTGGCTTGGCCTGAACTTTTGTTTCATATATTTTGTTTGTTACATTTTGAGAATAATAAAGTTTGTGGAACCTGATTTATTACAAACCTAGTACTGGGTGGCTGAGTCCATGCATGAGAACAGTGGGTATGCCTTGCTTTTGGAACATGTGCGAAATCTCACACCCAGGCCCAAACCCTGCCCTCCTGGGATCCCAGGCTAACTCACTATTTCCTCCCCCACAGCTGATCATTTGGTGGTCTCCCAGCTTTTTTGCATCCCTGACCTTCTAAAATGTCAAAATCCCCTCCTAAGGCTTAGTTACTGACATTTAGAGCTTTAAGCAACAACAAGCTGGTATTTTTGGTATATTTAGCCTTTGGACCCGCCTACCACTGGAATGCAGCTCCTGAGAGCGTCTCCAAAATTGAATTTGGCCCTTGGCTGAAAGAGATTCTCCACTCCTTTTAAACAGTGCCACATGTATGGTGGTAGGAAGTGAAGCAACCCTATTCCACAGATGAGCTAGAAATTGCATACTGGATGGATGGCAGTACATTCCAGGGATGCATTCCTGTGTGACCAGCTCCCCCTAGTGGTCCCAGCTCCAAGTTATGACTTCAAAGGGGTCCCAGCTCCAAGTGCACATGAATTGATGCTCACAACCATTCCTGCATTTCCTTCCACTTGCTAGATGAACTTCGAAGTTTTAAAAAGGGCCTTGCTTTTTATTCTCTCCACCCCCGCAAAGCAAATTTCTAACCTTTAGTGGTCCTATCACTTCCTGGCAAATAGATGAGGAAGAAATGGAGGTAGTGACAGATTTTAGTTTCCTGGGCTCCAAGATCACTGCAGGCGGTGGCAGCAACCAAGAAATTAAGACGCTTGCTCCTTGGGAGGAAAGCCATGGTAAATCTAGACAGCATACTAAAAAGCAGAGACATCACCCTGCCAACAAAGGTGTGTCTAATCAAGGCTATGGTTTTCCCAGTTGCAATGTATGGCTGTGAAAGTTGGACCATAAGGAAGGCTGAGGGCCGAAGGATTGAGGCCTTTGAATTGTGGTGCTGGCGGAGACTCCTGCGAGTCCCTTGGACTGCAAGGTGATCAAACCGGTCAGTCCTTGAGGAGATCAACCCTGACTGCTCTTTAGAAGGCCAGATACTGAAGATGAAACTCAAATAGTTTGGCTACCTAATGAGAAGGAAGGACTCCCTGGAGAAGAGCCTAATGCTGGGAACAATAGATGGCAAAAGAAGAGGGGGACGGCAGAGGATGAGGTGGCTACATGGAGTCACTGAAGCAGTCGGTGTGAGCTTAAGTGGACTCCAGGGGATGGTGGAGGACAGAAAAGCCTGGAGGAATGTTGTCCATGGAGTCGTGATGGGTCGGACGTGACTTCGCAAGTAACAACAACACCAAAGGGAATCACTAAAAGAAATCAAAACGAGGCGGGCAGAACTTGACACCAGGGGTTTTCTGTGGAATCCACCTCACACACCTAGTGACTTTGTGTTCCTTTAATCTCCCCTTTAAATAAAATCGAAACGGCACCCTGTGCTGCAAAGCCAGCTGCCCTGCTTGGAATCAATTTATTTATTAACATACATAAGCACATTGCTGTTACAGAATTTGTGCTTTCCAAAAAAAAAAAAAAAAAAACCCAATTACTGTACGTGAGAGAAAGGAAACCAAGCATGGAATGGAAGAGGAAAGAAGGGCGGGGAAAGAGAGAGGAGAGCCCAGCCAGAGTCTCCCCGTGTCCCAGGCTCTCCAGGCCAGTAGCGCCTCAGGAGAAGCGTCCGGAATGGGCTCGCTCTCAAACACAGGGCCATGGAGCTGAACGGTGGTGGGGAAAAGGTTCCTTGCTGCGAACTCCTGCTGGAGACCAGAGCTGCACAGGGTGCTTGTCGCTTCCCGGGGGGCCAGGTGTGTTGGGGACCAAGTGCCGGAGGTGGGGGACAGGGAACCAGAGCCTTGCCCGCACGGGGCCATTTTATTGCCATATTTTATTTTAAATTCGTGCAAAATACTCAAAAGCTCTGGGTAGCGTCTGAGGGGAGGAAACGCCCCTCCCCATCCACCCCCCAAGAGCAGCACACGCAGGAGATCAACCCAGATGGCATAAAAGGCATTGGGGGAGGGGATCAGAAAAAACCCAGTGGGAAGAGGCAACAGGAATGGGATCTGTAGGGAAGCTACCAACAAAGAGGGGACCAGGCAGATTTACACATTTCCTATTTGACAACATTAGAAAAAGAGAGAGAGAGAGAGAAAGAGAAAGAGAGAAGAGCGCGCGCTTGGAAAAAGTTACCCCGGAGTACCATGGAGTATATCCTATCTGGCTGGGGCACAACCTGAGGCCTTGGACCGCAGGGCTACAATACGGAGCAAAGAGGCACCAGGCCCTCACTGCGGTGGCTCCAGGCTTACACACGCTGGGCTTGCTGGGTGCAGGATACCAAGGGCTGGACTAGGGAGCCGGCCTTAAACACTGCCCCCAAAGCTCTCCTCCTCTTCTGGCACAGGGTCAGCATCCCAACAGGTGATATCGATCTCTGCAGGTGAAACCAAACACATCAGCCTGAGCCAGGGGCAGGGGCCAACTGCCTGGGCCAGCCCCCTGGAAGCAGCTGTGTCCGCTCACAGGCGGCTCCCAGAACAGTGGAGCCAAGCAGGCCACTTTGACGGCAAGGGCAGCTCCTTTCCGGCCACCCTGCCAACCCGACCCCCCCCCCTCACCTGGGGGCTTATTGTAGAACACTGGAGGAGGAGCTTTAGCAGATGGTTCCTCGGGTTGGTTGAAGTCTTCGTCTTGCGATTGGCTGAAATAACCCTCACTGGTCTGGAAGAGAAAGCCAAGCTGCTGGAAGATGGCCGCACCCTTTACCGCTCCATTCACAAATTCAGCATAACACCTGCCACAGACTTTGTACTCCCAGTCATTCATAACTGTGGTGGAGACTGCAGAGGGCATGCACTGAAACCTGGAAGGTGGGCGCTGCCCTGCCACCATCATATGGGAGAGGCTGTGGCACATTAGTGCAGCACATGCTTGGGATGCAGAAGGGCCTGGGTTTGATTCCCAGTGTCTCCAGGGGAGCTGCTGCCAGTCGAGACAACACCACTGGGCTAGATAGGCCAAACGATTGACTCTGTTTAATGCAGGGCCCTGTACACGGCCTATTCAAAAGGATGGTAAAAATGCACTGAAGGGTGGGTGACTTAGCCACATTCTTGAAAGGATGCATTTTCGGTTGGCTGAAGATACAGATTGTGGAATAAATTCACATGCATAGATTTGCTTTTTTTCCTGCAAAATAAATACATTTTATTTATTTATGGTTGCAGGAAAGCAGCTGTTCCTGCTCCAGAGGTGCACTGGCAAGGCAGGGCTCAGTCACAGGGCAAGCCCAGCCTATGTCTGCTTTTTGCAGGTAGGGAAGCGAGCTCTGGATATCTTAGGGGTGCTGTAATTTGGAGTCCTACACTGAGCAGGGGTTGCGCTCGATGGCCTTACAGGCCCCTTCCAACTCTACTCTTCTGCGATACTACTCTAAAAAGCTGCTGGCCAGGGCAACGTTTCCCACCTGCGTGCTTTCCTTCTGGGCAGTCTCCCCATTGGTGAGCAGCTGGGGCTCCTGGTGCACCCCAGAGGCCTCCTGCAGGGCATGCTGATAGCTGAGGGTCATCTGATGCAGCCCCTCGACTGCAATGATGCTGGCCGGCTCTTCGTCCTGCTCAGCATCACAGAAGGTGGCTGGGGGCTCCGGGAGGTCATTGAAGTTCAGCAGGTTGTCTTCAGGAAGGCCTGCAGAGGAGAGGGGCTCTGGTGCCCCGGGAGGGACATCGACCTCAACCAGCATCGGGGCAGGCACCGGAGGCCCATCGTGAAGGTCCCACGGGGCAGGGGTGGGGGGCCCACCCCCTTGCTGAAGCTCCCAGGCGTCAGGGAGGGTGGGTTCCACTGCCGTGCTGTCATTCTGCCACAAGTCGAGGATGTTCTCTGATGGCGGAGCAGGTGGCTGGGAAAAGCCAAAGGCTTCCCCCAGGTCCAGGGCACCTTCGCTTTGGGCAGCCAGTGGGGCTGCTGGGAACAGAGGCTCTTCTTTGGGAGGAGGAGCTTCTGGGAAGAGGGGCTCCTCCTCCTTGGGCTCTGCGAACACCAGGTCTTCAGTGGGGCCAGTCCCGCTGAGCTGCGGCTCTGTCCAGCCGGCTCCCTGCCAGGCTGGTGCCCCGGGCGGCTCTTCCGTCTTCTCCACAGGCTGCTCTGCGCTGGGGGGAGCCCAAATCACAGCAGAAGCCCCCGCCGTCTCCTCACTGCTTGGGCTGGAGGAGTCTGGAGCAGGGAGGAAGCAAGAGGAGGTGTTCGGTGGGCGGACACCGGCAAGGGGATCCACAAATCGAGGCACCAGAAGGCTGCAGGGAAGACCTCGGCAGCATTTTGAGCGCCCGGCTGAGCCAAGCGGAGGACACAGGGTTCGGGGAGGGAGGGGGAGGGGAGCAGCACCTACCTTTGAGTGCACCCTGCTGCGTTACCTCATCCAGGGCACGCTCAATCTGCTCCCCCACAGGCGTTGAGGCTGTACTGGAATCGCAGGGGCTACTGGCAGAGGCCGAGACCTTTCTGTGTGTTTCCGTCTGGCTGCCTGTGAATGAGCCACATGGGCACTCAAGACAAGCCCAGGTGCCACCACCCACAGAGCCACGCGGCCCGCCAACTGGACGCATGAAAGACACGGCAGCCTTGTGGGATCGCAAAGGCTTCGCACCCATCGCCCCGCCTAGCTGACCATCAAAGAAGTTGCTGCCCTTACACCAGCCCCACTCTAGCCTGCATCCCACAGTAGGGTGCATCACTAAGGTACCTCTGCCTTCCCCAAAAGCATGCAGGGAACAAATCTGTGAGCTCTCCGATTCTTCTGCTGGGGTGGGCAGAAACAGCCCTGATGCTGCACGGGGTCCCAGGAACCACAAGAAAAAAGAAGGGAAATCCCCCAGCGCTGTCATTCTGCCATGGACAGAATCGTGCTTGAAACTGGGCTGATGCGCTTTAGGCCTGCGGGCTCAATCCAGCGCTTCCTCTGGCTCTGCCCCTGCCCCTTTCCCCCTGACTGCCTATTGTTTGGGGGTTTTCTGGCTTCCCTCGTCCTATTTAAAAACACCTCCCAAGGTGTAGCTACTGGCAGGAGGAGCTTTAAACTAAAAAAAGGGCCCCTCCCTTTTGCCTTCAGCCCCCCTGGAATATGACCCTCAAGAGCATCTCTGGAGTGGAATTCAGCCCTACAGGTGCAAGAGGCTTTGCACCCCTCCTTCAAACAGTAGGATATGTCCACGCATGTTCCTTTTGCGATCCATGGAAGTGCAGCCTACAGCAAACGTCAGGACAGAGGGACACACTTTCCGGGTGATCTCTGTCCAGGCGCACATAGCCCACCACATGCCCAGACTGCCCAGTATTTCCATCGCATGCCCCACCCAAGCCCACACAGTCCAGTGGAGGCATCCCCTCCCACTCTGATAACTGCTGGACACGTGACCGGCTCCAAGCAACCTGGATACGGCTATGCAGCTCATTGTTTGTTTGCAAAGACTGAGGCTCCCAGGCCCGCTTTCCTCCCGTCAACACACCTAACCAGCTAAAACATGCCTTATCCTGAAGGCTCTACCCCAGAATAGCATCAATACACTGGCCTGTTGAACCAATGCATGGATTTGGGGTCCAGCAGCTCATGGAGAGAAGTTCCTGTAGAAGCCCACCTGCCCAGATTTCTTGTTGAATGGGACTGGGGATGGGGTGGGTTGATGAGGAATAAATGTTCTAATTATACACATGTGATTATATATACGTGAGAGCCAGTCCACCTGGCAGCACACACAAAGGAGCTGCTGAGGTGCAGTCTGGGGCTCTTTTCAGGTGCAGTCTGGGGGCCTGTCTTGTGAACAGTCACTGACTGGCTTCAGACAGCATGATAATCCACATGCAAGGGTTGAGCATGGATTGAGTGTGGTCTGTCACTGAAAGATGGGTTATCTGAACCCAGGCACCCTGACAAATCACGTGTAGGTTATTGTGCTATCTGAACCCAGTCACTGGCTTGAGATCCTCCTTTCAGAAGTGCCTGCAGAGTGAGACTGGATGGGACGTGGGGGCCAAATGAAAGGCAAGGGGCTGAGGCAATGCCCCCTAAGCAGCTGCCTCCCCAGCCAACTCCCCAAAGCCCGGCTTGGGCCTGGCTACCTACATGGGAAGAAGGAGGAGAGGTTTGGTGTGCGGTGGCAAGTGATATAGGGAAAGGGAGTCCGTGGAGGGGAGGAGGAGGAAGAGGAGGAGGAAGGCGGCCCACTGTCAGGTGTCTTTATGAAAGGACAGTGCAGACGACCTGCTGAGAGAAAGACAGACAGACGGACGGAGACAGAGAAAGCAGAAGAGAATGGTCAGTCTCCCCTCCAGCTGCCCACTCCATCACCCCCCCTCTCATGCCACTGGGCAATCGGTACCCAATTCAGGGGCGGGGGAGGCAGGGGAAGTCTGTGCAGGATGCAAGGCAGGTGGCCGAGTAAGCAGTGGCAGGAGCAGGGCCCCGCCGGGCAGCGCAGGGGAAGCAAAGGCAGGGCCTGGCAAGGTGGAGAGTCAGGGTGCAGCAGTGTGAAGGGCTCGGGCGGCATCGGGAAGGACAGGGAGTGCAAGATAGCGAAGGGGAAGAGGACGCCGGGAGGCAGAGCCGGTGCAGGGGAACAAGCTCGTGCCCGTCTTTCTACAACGGACCTCCTGCCCTTCCAAACGCAGCCACCCCACCCGAAGACAAAATGCACATGGCTCCAGCATGTAAACCTTTGGCTTATCCCAGGCAGGGATGGAAGAGGATGCTGCAGTGAACAGCCCGAGGATGGAGCGAGAACACATCCCAGCACTGGTGTAAACAAGTGGCCTCGTATGAATGCCAGCGCAGCACCTGCGGCTGCCTAAGCCGCCTAACTCTCTCTTGTTGCAGGAGTCACTTCTTGGCTCCACACCCACCCAGGCCTAATGGGCTGTATCTGTACTCCAGGTCTTCTCTCTTGCCTGACCCCATGCGCAGCAAATGAGCCCTATTATTTATTTATTAATTTATATCCCACTTTTTACTGTTTAAAAACGCAATGTGGCTTACATCCCTCTCCTCCTGCTCTCAATCTTACGCCCAAACAACAACCCTGTGAGGTAGATTGGACTGAGAAAATTGGACTGAGACCGGTCCCAAGTCATCCAGTTGGTTCCATGATCGAGAGGAAACTAGAACCCAGATCACCTGAGTCCCAGCCCTGTGCTCTTAACCACGACACCACACTGGCTCTCGAGGACACACACTGAGTCCTACGGCACAGCTAGATTTTTTCTCTGGACTTGGGCTGCGGTGGAATCTTGCCTGCTGTGACCCCTGCCTTTCTCTTGCTATTCCTCTCATACAGAGATGCCCAGAGCCACAGACCCGCTTGACATCATTCAGAGCTAAGCAGTATTTCCGGACAGCTCGCCCTAGGTTGCTCCCACTGCCTGACTATACAGACACACATTGGCCCAAGGCACACGGTCACAGAGGGTAAAGCAAGCCACGGTGGCACGCCAGCTGGATTTCCCAAATCGCTCTCACTGATGCAGCTCCCGTGTTGTCTGAAACTCAGACAGTGTGGTTTGTTTTATGGGGAGCAGCAACTCCCCAATAACCCAACAGCAGATGTGGGCTATTCCAGGGCTGTTGCCCCCTCAAATAAGACAGGCCACTGGGTTCTGCAACAAGCAGCGAAATCCAGCCGGCATGTGCACGAGGGTGACCAAGCCACTGGAGCTTGTTAACGAAGCAGTGGTGACGAGAGCCGGATCATTCCCTCACACACAACACTCCTCCACTCACACCCACACGAACATCAAGGTCACCCACTCGACCCCAGCCATCTTATCCCCACACAGCACGAAGCAGATTGCTATTTGGTCACTTCTGCTCCAAGACTGTCCTCTTCCATCACCATCATCATTATCAACATCCCTGCTTCCATGCTAAGAAACCTACCTACAGGCTGAGATGTAACAGAGCACGAAAATAGATGGCCACTTGCTGCATGGCCACCGCACAGAAATGTTCCATCTGGGAAGCCAGTCATCTGCAGGATCAACCTCTGGGATCCAAGCATCCCTACACAGTTATCGCTCAGATGGGGACTTTTCCTAAACCAGCACCAACATGCTAGCACTCTCGTTTGCTTTCAGACTAAACCTGTAAGATCCACCAGCTCAAGAAGGTTGTTGTAAGAGCCAGTGCCTGTGTTTGGGGGGGGGGGTCTTTCTGCCCAGTCCCTTTTCCTTTTGTGCCATGTCTTTTGGAGCTTTTCTTCATGAGACTGTTAATCTATCAATCTGCTGCACCAACTTTAAGTTTTCTTGCAGTACAGAAGTCCAACCCATTAACATGGAAGCATTAACTTTCATGCTTTTCCAATAAATAACCTCTAGGTGGCACTGAAGTATACTGGAACAAGGCACACCCACAAACAGTGTTTTCTTCAGTTTCACAATCAAACGCCTGCTCTAATGCCTACTCCATTTTCCCCACTCTAACAAATATCCCTGAAAGTGCTCTTGAAGCATAAAAGCAAAACTTGTTGTATTGTTTATTTATATTTTATTGTAAGCTGTCCTGAGACAACCGCTTGTATAGGACGGAATAAAAATATCCTAAATAGATAAATAAATAAAACTGGAGGTCACAGCATTCTCTAAAGAATTCATATACAAGAATGGAAAGATAAATGTGTGGCATAAATGCCTCCTGTGGAAAATCTCTTAGTCTGTTAGCCTGAGAGCAGAGAATTCTTCTCCCTCCTAAAGATCCCATCTTTAAAATCAAGCTTTATTAATTTTGATCCTTACTATCCAACCCTACTGTAAGAGTAGCAATACCTAATGTTCCAAAACACTGAAAAAAGTAAACAAAAAAGGAAAATTGATTCAGGAGAATAGTAGGATGTCTGACTGAAACCCACTTTTTAGAGAGTGGGCCCATCCACATGACACGACAGCCCACTGTGGATTAGCGAACCCGTCGTGAGGCTGTAGAGATGCCTGCAGTTGCCATTTTGCATAGCCATCTCCAACTCAGGGTTGTCCTATCATGTAAAGTCAGCAAGCACAGGTTATATGAAGGAAAAATAACCCTCATACAATGCTAGAATAAACCATGGGTGATGTGAGAGCTGCTTAACCCTACATAACTCGTGCTCACTGAGTTTGCACAACACAACAATCCAGAGCTGGCAAACTGGCATCCTAGGTGCCATGACTCATCATGGGTTCCATAATCTATGGCAACCTAAACAATGTATGAACTGGTTCAATAACTTAATTTAACCTTGAAAGTGGATCTGCTACCATTTTGGATATATTCTGGTCCCTTGCAGAGATTTCCATAATCAAAGCACACATCCCACGGCCACATCCTGTGACTGAGTCCAAAGAGTGTGGTTTTACATCACAAAAGGATGCCTCCTTTCATTCGTTATGCATCTGCCAGAGGCTGAAGATTTGCTTTGCAAAGTGACACAGCAACACCCGCCCTGTTTTCCTGTTTTCTCTGTCCCATTCTACCTCTGCCAGTTTTTGGGTCGCATTTGTACCAATCCGATGCTGCCTGCAGCTCTCACTACAGCCCAGGTTTGCAAGGCTGCCCACTTTCCCTCTCAAAACACCACTTCAGCTGTTCCATCGCTCCCCCAAATGTCTCCCACTTTCCCTGCTCCAGATGGAACAAGCACACCTCCCGCTCCTCCCCTGACACGAGGTGCCGGGCGCTCCCTACCTGTTCTGTTGAAGGGTGAGGGTGCCTCTGAACTGGCTGACGCCACTCGCTCTTGCTGCCTGAAGAATTCGCGGGGGTTCTCCGGGCGCTGAGCAATGATGGCGGCTGCCTCCTGCCGGGACGTGAGGGGGAGAGGCAAGCGCAGAGGGTCAGCACAGCTGGTCCTTTGATGCACGCGGACCCCCTCCCGCTGCCCCCGCCCCCCAGTGCTCACCCCCCCATGCAGCTGCCAAGCGAGACCGACAGCATGTGATGCGCACCACGCGCATCCGGTGCCCCCCGTGCCCCACCCTGCAGAAGCCACAGCAGACGAGGACACAGGACAGCGATGCCCACTCAGCTCGGCTGGGGACACGAGGACGGCGTGACAAAGGCAGAGAGACAAACGCAACCGGAGGCCTGCCTCGCTCCCCCCACCCGGTAATACTGACCCCCGCCCTGCTTAAGCACAGACTTTGCTAGTCGCCACCAACACACTCCAGCTTCACACGCCCCGAGACAACACTCCCCGCTGAGCCCCCCACACTGCTCCTCGGCACACAGCCTGGCGGCCCACATGCAGCAGCGGCCCGGCGGGTGCGCGGCGGCCGGCTGCCTCACAACGCATGCTGTGCCCCGGGGCCGCACTCACCTCCACCTCTGACTCAGGCTTTTTGGGCTGCTGCCTGTCCTCCTCGTCCTCCTGCTCCCCCTGGGGAGAGAGGTCAGCGTCAGCCCCAGGGCACCTCAACCACACCGGAAGGCCCTAGTTTGCTTTCCCTGACCTACTACAAAGCTGGAGTGAGGAAGAGCTCCTGGGCAGCAACGCCTCATCGCCTGCTCGCCGAGTCAGTCCCCCGGGACACCAGCCAGCCTTGGTGCTGAATTCCTACCTCTGCCAACACCTGGAGGAGCCAGTAGCAAACTGGGCAGCCTCCCCAGCTCTCGAAGCATCACTTACAAAGATGGACTGCTCCTTCAACCGCTGCTTGGCTTCCTCTGCTTCCAAGCTCTGCTGCTTCCGCCTGGCAGGAAGAGAACAGAGAATGCTTGAGCACAGAGCTCAGGATGCTGGAGCAGACGCCCTAGCTTGGCTTCCTAGAATTTAGCTGAATATTCCCCTCTCCCTCAATTTAGTATTTGTAGCCATTCTGGACCCACAGAGAACACTCCAAAATCTGGCTCCGTTATTCCCAATTTATGCACCTCTGAAAGTTGCTACTATATCCTCTCTCAGGTTCCATTTCTTATTAATACTATGATTATCGATACATCTCCATCCCACCCTTTTCCCACCTAGGACCAGAGGTAACTTCCATGGTCCTCCCCTCTCCCTTTTATCATCACAGCAACTCCCAGGTAGGTTAGATGAGAGGCAGTGACTGGACCAGAGTTACACAGTCCACTTCACTGTCTGAGCAGGGAATAGAGCCTGGATCTCCCCAGTGCCAAGCTGGCACTCTAACCACTCTGCAACACTGCCTCTCTTATCAGGTCTAAAAGCACATATTCCATTTTTCCTTTTGCTCTTAATTCCTGCACTCATTTCCACTGGTTCCCTCTAAAACCCTTCCAACCCTACTGTAAAACTTCTTCGGACCTATTTTTAATATGGAGCAGATACAAACTAAAGAAGATTCCCACTCTACTCTACCCAGCAGGAAGAACTGAAATCCCCAACATTTCTGTATGCTTGTCAAGAGAATTGTATTTGAATGGCCTCCAGTATGTGCTCTCATTTAAAAATCTTTGTTACATCTGATCTCCCTTTCCTATGGGTTAGGCTTTCCAAGTCCAACTATTATACTTCTTACCTTGTTGGTTGCAAACTAAGTATGTTTGGTTCTTCAGGTTTTCTAATTTATAACTCTGTCATTTGACAAGTGTAAGCAGGATTCATTGTTGCACAGAAAAATGATAAAATATTTATTCTTTTCAACTACCTGCCATAAACCTGAAGAAAATGAGCAACATATGCACATATATATTCCATCCAGGCTGGGTTCAGTCTACTTTTATGCTCAAATTCTACCCCACTACATTAAAAAAGACCTTCTTTGGAGCTCCACTGAATTTAGTGGGACTTATTCCCTCTCTGGTAAGCTTGCCTAGGAATTCAGCCATACTAATGTTTGAACTGTTATGGAGCAGCATGGCCAAAGTCCTTGAAATTCCAGGACACCACAAAAGATAGACTGTTAATTGTACAACTGGGATTCAAAATGGAATTTTCTGTGGCCATTGGCAGATCATTCTCCCCGTCCCCAGATAAATATGGAAGAGATGGCAAAGACATCCTTGTCAGCCTTTTTCTAGCCTATTCTGTCAGGACACCCACCAACAGGTGCTACCTTGACCAAAGAAACCAACTCACCTGTTAGCAAAAAAGCATAGTAAACAAAAGAATTGCACAAGCCATTTGTATAAACCACTCCAAACCTCCGAAACAAAGAAGAGAAAATCGGTCAGTAGAAGGCCAATGTGGTGTATTATCCTGATTTCAGGCTTCTTAGCTTCAGAGAGGAAGCCCTTTCCATGTCAGTCTGACTGCTACGGTGCCCCTTCACACTTGCCACAAACCCTCTGTATGCTGCAGAGAATTCTGGATAGTGTTCTAGGATGCTCAGGCTGGCATAGCAAACAGTGCTGATAGGGCCTGCTAAGCTGAGCATGGCACTTGGATTGCGAGCTTCAGATCTCTACTCGGCCAAGAGCCTCGCTTGGTTACCGTAGGGCAGTCTCTCTCAGCCTGCCTAGCCTACCTCACCATGGATGACCTCCTTGGAAGAAACATGTTCTAACAATGTAATACACGTCCAAATGGGGCTAGGGCTCACCGGACCACTGCACTCTAAAAGGATGAGCAAGACCCTCCCCTGCCACACCAATAATCACGTTAACAGTGAGTTACTCTTGTGAACAACAGCAGGAGTGGCAGGGCATCTGGTCGTAATGAGCAGGCATGTAGGGCCATCAGGCAGGGGGGCAGCCCCCGAGACAGAACAACATTCTTGCCCAACGAGGAAGCATGCAAAAGAAAGAGGCGTGCTTCCACTGGTGCCCCGCCACCAGAACCCTTTCTTTCTCCTTTCTCCCTTCCCTCAGAGGACAGGAAGCCTCATTCTGACTGGGCTGTGCTGGTCACTAGCCCTTTTTCCTCCCAACCAGTAGTGCTGCCAGTAGCTGGGCTGGGCCTCCTGGGACACCCACTTGGTCTCTGGCTCCCCACTCCTCCCACTGGGGCAAACACCCTCTCCCTTCTCACGGATTTCGGAAACATCGTGCCGAGGGGGCTCCTCTGCTGACTTTCTACATTTGGTTTCATCAGGATGGCACACGGGATGGAAGAGAAACCGTGGCTGACCCCAGTGGATGGGGAAACATCTTTTAAAGGCAAGAGGAAACAAACAAACAAAAAACGCCCTGCAGCCAAATCATGACCAACACAAGGCCATGCATATGGAAATGTCAGAAAGTGGTGGACAAGGATACCCACAGCTGCCCCTGATCTACGGGGTGAGGCAACATCAGTCCATCTCGGCATGCCAATAAATCCTGAAGCTGTTCCGCCACTTCCCTGGATCCACAGCACTGCCACCAATGCCAGACCCCAGGCGGTGCTTGCCTGTGCTCCTCGATCTGCTCCTCGCGCTCCCGGTAGCGCTTCTCACGCTCCTCTTGCTCCTGCCTCTCTTGCTCCATGCGCTCTTGCTCGAAGCGCAGCCGCTCATCCAGGGCTTTCTTCCGTTCTTCCTCTTTGCGCAGCTCCTCCTCTTTCTACAGGGGAGGGAAGAGGTATTGTGGATCCGGCTCCACGTGTATCATGCCTCCACATCACAGGCTGATGAAGCATGGAAAGATGAGTGTGCACACGCAAATGCCTGGGATTGTCCTCTCTAGGGCTCCCTTGCTAAAATCACCCACCTTGGCCTGCTCCCAGAATTGCTCTCGGTTGAGTCGTTTCATCTCCACAGCGGCATCAGTTTTCTGATAGGAGGTGCCCTGGAATGAAGAAAGCCAGTCAGAGGAGGTGCGCATGCACTTGTGTCTGCATTATAAGCAGAGCCAGAACCGCGTTTTTGAAGATCCTTCAGAAAGACACTCTCAGTGGGCCCCCCCTCTCTGTGACTCCACCTTCGCACGGCACATTCAGCTGCTGCTCTTGCTGCTCAACTTCTTTCCTGTAATTGCTCCTCTCTGCCTGCCTGATGGGCAGCACACAGGCAGGGGCATCTCCACTCCTCCTTCTCACCACCTCCATCGCCTGGGCCACAGCAAGGGGCAAGTGAAGAAGCAGGCTGCATTAGTGAAGGGGAGGAGCAACTTCAGGAGGCTCCTGTCCATCGCGGTGTGGGCCTCAGTTGGTGCCCAGCCATGGCTACCCTGGACACTGGCCCCAGGGACATGCAGGGGATGTTTGTTAATTCAGCTGAAAAAGCGGCTGTCACATTCTCACCGGAGCAGGGGTCCTCAAACTGTTTCAACTGGGGGCCAGCTGAAAGGTGCTGGCGGTGGGCACGGGTCACCAAGACGGTGCCAGCGGGGGGCGTGGGCTGGTCAGGGAGTGGGGGCAGGAGGTGTGCGCACGTGCAATGAGGCAGGGGCGGGGGGCGCACGTGGCGAGGCAGCGGCTTGCTCACACGGAGATCATTTTCTCAGAGCGAGTCCAAAACGATCTCCACGCAAGCAAGCCACTGCCTCACCGTGTGCCCACACATGCATGCGCAGCAAGTCCAAAACCTCTGAGGTGGGCCGGATAAATGGGCATGGTGGGCCAGATCTGGCCAGCACACCGTAGTTTGAGGACACATGCACTAGAGTGCTCTGGCATTAACATCTTTTGTCATGTATACTAATCACCTGGAGGTAACTGGCAGAAAGCTCCCTAGAAGCACTTTAGGAGTGATTGGGCCTTCTAGAGGATTTGTACTTGGCAGGCAATCTGTAACAGCAGCAACACAACTCTTAGCTTTAAGCAGATTTCACCCCAAAATGCGGAGGCAGTGGGTGTTGCCAACCAGGGACCATGGGCTTGGCTCGCTGAAGAGGGAGCCAGGAGCATTACCACAGGCTGGGCGTTCTCATCCTCCCGCAGGCGAAGGCGGTGCAACACTGGGCTGGCGATGCGGGCCAGGCCATTGGAAAGCCGCTGCCCGATAGCCCCTGGGTCGATGTCTTCCACGCTGCTGGCATTGACAATTACATCCACACCCTGCAGGACAATCAAATCACACAGAACAATGAGCTCAGATTTTCTGGGACAGGAAATAAAGCAGCTGGCCAGAAAGGTGTTTGTGAAGACCCCCTGACTGGCAGAGGCGAACTGCTCAATATCAATCTATTGTACGTCGGGGTGGATAACTCTGAGCAACTTTCACTCCCTCAGTTCTCTCCACCCTCCATGGGCCACAGTCCGTTGGTCAACCTGAGAATGATCTTTTTATGGACAAGAATGATGTCTGCAGCCCCACAGAGTGTCAAAAAGGTAATGGTTAGCTTGTCTGCAAGTTAAATGCGACCCTTATCAGGCCCTGTAGCAGCTATGGACCTCAAAGGGTAAGATTTAGCCACTAAGCAAGCTTATAAATGTGGTACTTCATAGTGCTGCGGAGAGAATTGTTTTTCCTAAGAAAAGGTGAATGTTTTTTCAAGGGCTGGGGGCAGCAAGGGCACATGCAGCCTTTGAATGTGTGCTCCTTGCTCATCTCCCCCACACCTGCTGCCCTCATTTGTCAAGCCCAAGCCCAAGCCCATCCAAGGCACAGGCTGATGGTTGCCTCGACATGTGGTCCTAACAGTAGTAGCTGCCCCCTGCCCAACTTGTACTCCTCACCCCACAGCTTATCACTGACCTGGAAGAACTCTGCAACCTTGGCCACATGGCTGGCACAGGCACACTTGCGGGCATCGGCTACATCCTCTCCCACCTGTCAACAATGGGGAAGCACAGGGGCGGAAAGTGTTAGTGCTGAGAAATGCTGCGCTCTGCTTGGATAGCAGCAGACATCCTCCTCTTGCACTAGTCCTGATCTGCAGTTGAAAGAGCATCTGGATAACCCAGAAGTGGCAGCACAGGGAAGGGTGGCACAAGCACATCACAAAACCCAGTGGCTTTCCCTGGATTTCAGAATGGAAAGCAGGTCCCACGGTCATTTGCCCCAAGGAAGGGCTCCTCCCTGTGAGATAGACCGAGAAGTGGAGAGACAAGCTGCACTACTGAACTGCCTCTTCACACCCTGGCCCAGTTTATAAGCTGTACCCTCAAGCTGTCAGAGGAATACGCCTGAAGTAAGACCCTGCAGAGCCACCTTCCCCAACGGTGCTGCTGTGTGGGGAGGATGCAAATGGTAGGCATGTACATGTGAAGGGCACTGAGTTGCAGAAGGTGCTACAAAGCCCAGGGATCACAATCAGAAGCTGCTGTACGCAGCACTTGCACACATTTGCTGAATTCCTGGAGAACAGAAGCATGCCCTTATTCAGTCCTTCCAGCTCCGCACCTGCCAAATGTCTGGTTTTGGAGTGGGGGCAGGATTTATTTTCTACTGGTCCTTTTGTTGCAAATGAGTGATGTATTTCTTCTTTTAAATTGTAAATCATGTTGGAAACTTGGGGGGGTCCTTCTCCCCTGCCCCTCAGAAAAGCAGCATTTAAAGATTTCACAAGCCAGGATATGAGTGGGGTGAAGCCAGCAGAGGCAAGCCTTGAAGGAAGCAGGGCAAGGAGGACAAATGTCTGTGCAGGATCAATTTGTTGGATGGCTAGGCAGGGTCCAAACTAATTCCACTAGAGGGCAACACAGACAAATTAATGAAAATCTGACGGTCAGCAAAAAAGGTCTGCTAGAAAGACCAACCTTGGCATCATTGCTGCTCTGAGAGTCAGCTTCCTGTGCCTCAGAACTCAGGCGAGCATTCATGCCAAGCCTCACACATGATGGGGGACACATTCTCTTTTACATAGAGCTTATCTCCATGCTAGAAAAAAGCCACACGTGTCTGGCCCCCAAGCTTGAAATCACAGGGCCTACATCCACCAGCTTTCACCATTATGGAACAGTCTGAACAAATTTAGTCCAGTCTGTATAGGCCCTCTGGGCTGAGGCCCTGAAGGGCCTTGAACTTTATGCAAGGCACAGAAGGGAGAATTTCCGCTTGTGTGCCTTTTCCCACCAGAGGACTGTATTGACAGGAAAAGCTGCATCTGGTGGAATTTTCCCCTGCTCTGCAATGCTTAAAGATACAGACATTCAGCCTGTGGGGAGAGCAATTGTTATCTTGTGTCCCATACAAAGAATGCAAGTTCTCCTTAAGAAAGGGCAGAATCCCACCCCCAACCCCAGCCCCAGCCCCAGGTTAGATGTAGGCCTTACCCAGTTAACAAGGACATATTTAGGTAGGGTGGCCTGGGGATCTTTGACACTGCAGAATCCGTACATCACCTTCTGATTCACAAAATGGCTGGAGAGCTCTTGTAGGCCACCAGCTGGGAAAAGAAAGCAAGGCATTCATGGGACACAGGCAATTGCTCCAAATGCTTCTGGCTTTTTTTTTTCTTTTGTGGAGAGAAAAGAAACACATGATTAAAGTGAAAATGTTCCTATAACCTTTTGCATATGCCCCTGCCAAAGGTCATGTCCATCTAATTCCCTGATGAAGCCCTGATGTTAATTCAGTTCTGCTTTTTGATTTCTTTATTAGATTTGTATGAAAGCTGCCCATTAGCATCACACTCTCTCGAAGAACAGGGGTAAATATAAATGGCTAAGGCTAAAGAACACAAATGATGTAAGGTTGCCTGAACAAGAGGAGGTAGGGTAGAGGCAGAAATACTTACTTCCAGAGGCAGCCAGTTTCAGGTTGTCAGAGTCATCTTCGTAAGTATACAAAGCCCTGGAAGAGAGAATCATGAACACAGGTTTGGAGAAACAGGCGGAGTGAGTGCGAGAGAAGAGAGCAAAATCCTCTGTGATTCCAATTGTGCATAAAGGAAACCCAGATTCAGTGCTAAGAAAAGCTGAATGGTAGGAACTGTACAGTTTAGGGAGATTAAAGATTTTGCATATATTGACTTACTTTTGCACAGTTTAGTCTGCTGCTGCAGTCCTCAGGGAGGGCAAGGAACTCTGTTCGGTGCTGAAGCCCCACCACCTAGCCACCAGGGGCCCAAGGATCTCAGGCATGAGAGATACCCAAACACACCCCTTCACAGCCCACAACACCTTCTTCTTTTAAATGGAAGTGGAGCTCTAAATGTCATATTCTGAACCAAATTCTGCACTGGCTTGGTGGTTGCACAGAATGAGCAACACACACAGCCCTTAGAGAAACATGGTTTTGTGGCACCTTAAGGATTAATAGATTAATTATAGGAGAAGCTTCCATGAACTGAACTGCACTGCACTCCATCAGATGACATTTCAGGTGTGGGTGTGTGTGGCTGGGTGTTACAGAAGGTAATTAAACCCCAGAACATATAGAAGTGGCATCACATTATTCTTAGCAGCCATGGATAAGAGTTGCGGAGACCACAAATGTCCTGGCATTGGGAAAGCTAATTAACACATGCAGACATCGAGCACTAACCATCAAAAGGCTTTGTGCCCCTTCATGGCTCCTCCTCCTCAATGAAGAATGAAGGTGGTCATGGGAAAGCACAGGAGGGCTATGAACTGAAGGTCATATTTGGAAACATCGCCCTAGAAACTTCTGCAGCTGAGATGTCTTATCTGAAGGTACCCATAGCATTTTTTAAAAATAAATCCTTTATGGCAGTTCAAGGTGCAAGGAATGTACCTCTGGACTCAGCGGTTTCTCATTCTAACATCCTCTTGAAGTGTCTTTGCCCAGGAATGGCCAGTTTAAGCTCAGTATTCAGATCGCTCTGGGAAGCAGAAGTGCCCTCCTGCAGATTTCTGCATGTTGCTGTTTCTGATGTCAGTTCTGAATTCAACTGAGCAAGAAGGCTAGAGGGCCTTTGTTTCAACTTAAAGGGCAATGGCAGAATGTCAAAAGAATATCCTTACTTCAGAGAGAACCTAGATAGATGCTTGAACCCAAGACTGCTTTGTGCAGAAAGGTGCATCTATGATGTTGCTGTGAGGACAAGGGACTCCCCAAGGTGGCAGCTGACACATCTGCCCCTCTTGTACTTCCAGGTGGGCAATTAGCAGGCAGAGCTGGGTCCACAAAGTCGTTTGCTCTGCACCCCCACACCCCACTCTCATGTTCTCCTCATCTAGCCTTACCAATCTGGCCCTCTCCAGCTATATCAAACACCTACTCCCCCCAGGGATTTTACTGGGTGTGCCATCGGGGGGGTGGGGGCGTTGTAGTCCAATGCCTCTGGAAGGTGCTGTATTGCAGAAGGCTGCACCATGAACCCTAGAGGTAAACCAATCTCCTTGCCTCCTCAAGCATCTCATTAGTAAGATGAACTGTTTGGCAGGTCACGTGAGGCACTGAGGGGTGGAGGAGGGGGCCTCGATCACACAGGGGCAAACTAATGATGGAGGGGGAGAGAGAGAAGCTGTTCCCTTCTGGCAAGGTCGCCCACCCGGAGAGTAAAACCCACGCATGTTGCCACCAGTGAACGGCTTGCCCAATAGTGGGCAGCAGGCAGTAGAAGGGAGAGAAAATAGTGGAATTAAAGCGGCAGCAGCGGAAGCATATCCATGAGGCATCCTGGTTTGTGTGAAGGGGCCTCCATGGAGACGGTCTCTAAGATACCACCCTCTCCTCCGTATCGGCTCAGAGAGTCCACTCCCTCCCCACCCTTGCCAATCAGCCAGCGGGGATCAGCTCCAAAGGCTTTCACACGCCCCACCCAAGTGCACCGGGTTCTGTTCTTTTCGCCACCTCTTTTCAGGCCCTCCTGGGAAGGGGGAGGAAAGAGCAAGGAGAACTGGTCCAGGCTGTGTGGGTGGAGACAAAATCTCAGCTTATCATGGCAACCAGCATCCTTCTGTCACCATGACAACCACACTGCCATCCAGCTGGGACACAGTTCAGATGACGACGGTGGTGGTTTACTGGGAAGTTGTATGTGTGGGATTTCAATGGCAGCTGGCCGTGTGCTGTTCCTACCACGTGCGGCGCCATCATCGCCTCGCGGGTCAGGAGGGACCTTCCCCACTGCGCACTTCCAGGGCTGTCGTGGGAGTTTGCTGAGTTGCGTCTCTTTCAGGAAAGCATGCACTCTGTGTGCTGAATTGCCAGATTCTTCTGCTGTTCACATTCCAGTGCAGGCTTCCCCCAGTCCTGGGGTCCAGAACCCACAAACCCGCATCTCTTGAAAACACCCGTTCACCAGAGAGACTTACTGCACCCACCATTATGCCTTTGGTGCTAAGTGGTCAATTTGCTGCAGCCTTCTGTAGTCGGCATGACCAATGCTCAGGAATCCCGGTAGTTGTAGTCTAAAATGCCTGCAGGCTCCTAGTTAGTCAAGGCTGCTCTAGCCCTTTTTTAGTATCAGGGGAGGGAGTATTACAAACAAGCCCAAGAGCTGACAAAGCAGAGCACTCACGTTTTTCCCCTCAGTCAGCCAACCACACCAAGGGTGATTGCCAATCTGCACAGGGTGGGTAAAAGTCAAGGCAGCGACAGCAGGAGAAGTATCCCTCTTGCACTGTGTGAGGTCTTTTATTTATGCATTTGTTGCATGCATGTTTATTTTATTTTCATTTATTTATTTAAAACATATCTCACCTTTCCCTCTAAGGAGTCCAAGGAAGCATACATTATCCCCCCTCCTATTTTATGCTCACAACAACCCTGTGAGGAGGTCAAGCTGAAAGTCACTGATGGGCTCAAAGTCACCCAGTGAGCTTCAGCTTCAAGGCTGAGTGAGGCTTTGAAGCATTTTTCTGAATCCCTGTCCAAGAACTCCAGTCATGACACCTCACAGGAGTATCTATTCTTTAAACAATGCAAATTGTGTCATTCCGGGTAGCTGCCTGCCTGCTGTATTTGCCATCCAGCCCATGTCACCAGTCACTTGAACCCAGGTTTCCCTTCTGAAACCTCCTTGTCCCCTCTACAGGGGACAGCGCAGTTGCCAGAGAAGGCTCTTGCTCTGATCACACCTAAAGTTTACACCCATCTTGACTGGATGCCAGTCTGCCTCCCATTCTTCAATCGATGACACCGCGGCTCCCCTGGAGGAATGTGACCGGTAGACAGAGATGCTCTTTTCTGCTCCTGGTCAGAGAGCCCTGCTGTAGTTGGAGGTCCCTGGCTTGGAGCTGCTTTGTCCACTGGTTTACTGGGCCTTGCACAAGCCTGGAGTAAGGTTGCTGGCTGGCTTGCCTCCCTTTTGTCACACACTGTGGGATGCTCTGCAGCATCTTTATTTCTTGACTTAGGGAGGTTTTCTGGATCCAAGCAGCAAGAAATCTCAGCATGTATTGACTGGCTATTCCCGTTTTCTCCAACCTGATGCCCTCTGGGAATTGGTCTACAACTTGCAGCATCCCTGCGGGACAGCTGGACTCTTCCTTCACTGACACAGAAGAAAGATATCAATGCTTCGAAGCACCCAAAAGTACATCAAACAGGTAGTTAAAAGGGCCAAGAAACAATCCACTGTTGTGTCTTTGCGCCTGTTCCTGGAGGTTGATGTAAAGGGCCTGGAGGCAGAACTTTGCAGAACTGGGAAGGCCTCTATGCCAATTGCTCTTCTCAAGCTTCCAGAGGCACTAGCAGTTCACGGCATGAAGAATCCAGGCTTATTCTTGGCTATGCCTGCCTTCCATATAGCCAATAGCTTGACAGGCCATCCCCCATGTGCTGAAACACCTCCATTAGCTGAAAGCCAGCTACTGGCTGGTTCTCAGATTAGCATATTTTTATCCAAACATCCTCGGGGGACACGCCAAATGTTTGGATGAGACTGAACAAGAATGATGCTAAACACAATATTGCATCTGATTTGTCAGAGGCTTTCTTTAAAAAAAAAAGCAAGAGAGCAGGAGAGGAAAAGAGAAATTTGTCAATGCTGCGCTGTCCAAGAGAACTATGCTGTTCTGATGTAAAGGTCATCTCTCGAGACAAAGGACATCTGGTAACCGTGGCTCATCCTGACATGAAGTCACATGGACCGTGCAATGAACGCATGTTTGTGGTAGATGCACACTTTGCATGCCGAAGGTCATCCAGGATCTCTGCCAGTCTGAGCAGACCAGACTCCCCCGGCTGAGGACCCTCCTCACGCATTAGACAACAATCCCCACTATCCCAACCCAGTTCCGTGGGTTGGGGGAAACTGGCGTGGGCAATACTGGGGCAGATGGACAAAGATATCCCTCGCATGAGCAGATTCCTGCGTCTTCTCATTTTCTGAGACTGCCTGCTTCCCCAATATGGTGGAACTTTCCACCTTTTTATTTTCCTAGCATTTTAAAAGCTAGTATTGTTTTTAATATTGATTTTATGTATTATTGTTTTTTATGTTATCACCACCCTGAGACACTGTAAAGGGGAGGTTAAAAATTTTGTTTAATAAACAAACATACATACAAACATACTCTGGCTAATGTTCAGAAATGCTGGGAGTTATTGGACAAAACATCAGAGCACTGTTCGGGAAGGTTCTTTGTGCCACTCTCTCTCAGCATCGTTTCCCATCTTTGTTGGGGATAATGGGAGTTGTTGTCCAGCACACATAGAGCACTCCAGACCGGGGAAAGCCGCTCTAAGGAGCTTAAGCAACAAACGGGGTGCCAGATCAACTCCTCTGCTCTCTCCGCGGCACTTCAGGGCATGAGCCTTGTGTTCTCAGCAGAGACTGCTGGACAGCTGCAGTGAGGTGAACTTGCCTTGGGATTGTGGCTGTCGACAAGAGGCATCATCTGCTTGCTCCCCACAGTGCCTCCTGGGATACTGCCTGGACAAATCGGAGGGGAGGAAATGGGGCGAGGGCAACCACAACGAACCTCTGAGTATCTCTCAGGCTCATCAGGGCTTCTTGGCACCATTGGCTGTCACAATGTGCAAACCTGCCCACCGAGTGGCCAAAGGTGATCCACTGAGTATCATGGCTGGGCAGGGATCCAAACCCGACTCTCAGTGGCCCAAGTCCAGCATTCTCCCTGACTCTCAGACAATCTGAATTACTGCGTTTAGAGATGAGGTTACTACACTGTATTCCATTTTTAATCATCTTATACCAAGTAATTTTGAGTTGGTCCCTCTCTAACCTGTCTCAAGAGGATCACTGAGAGGATAAAACAGGATAACCCTCCCTAGACCACACAGAGTCTCTTCTCCCTAGAGAAGAGACAGGTCATAAACATGATAAATAGCTATTGGCAGAATCTCTGTCCCGTTTATTTCCAAAAGAGGAAACACCTAGTTTTCTTTTCCAGGCACACAAAATATTCTGATTGCCTGGACTCTGTTGGTAGATCCTTTAATTTTTGTGACAGAAGTATGAAGGGCAAATCACAACCTGCTTTTTCCAGACCCATTCAGTACTTTACGTCATAATCCCATATATTGTTTGACAGCTAAAAGTCATACAAGGCATTAAAGGCCTTTGCTAATATCCTTCCCCTTGGACCAACATGATTATACCCTGATCTGTAGGGATGGCCCGAATGGAGCTGGGAGCTACACCACTCACAGGTTTTCCCTTCTCGCTCCTCACACCTCTGTGGTCTCAGGGCTGGCCCGGCCACCTGATTCAGCTGGCAAAAAGGTGTGTTGTGTGACAGAAGATAGACTTGGCTTCTGCGTGGTACAGAAATCTATTTGCTTTTTGAAGTGCTGATGCCAAGAAGGAGGGGGAGTGACATTAGGGCTTTGGATGGAATATTGGGTTATGTGAACTTTAGACAGGAGAGCATCCATGTACTCTGTATCGGCACAGAATTTGTCATTTGGCAATGGAAAATCTAGTTCTGTAGTACATAATACGTGTGTTGTTGCTGCTTAATCAAGATTCTAGCTCTCATGATTATAGGGATAAACTTGACTGTGTAGGCACAGTTTGATGTTTATGTTCAGACAGGGCTTCTGCTGATTGGTGAGATTCTGGTATGTAGCCCACGCCATACTCTGCCTCATAGTTCCTATTCCCAGTCCTCCCCATTTATTCAGAAACCTTTCCCTCATCTCAATTTGTTTCCCTTCCTTCCCCTGCCACCCCAGCTCTTGCCTAGGGACTCAAAATCCTTTTGATAACCTGATCATTACAAAATTGGAATTATGCAAAATAAAGGCACAAAAATGTAATTTGCATAATTTATTTCAAGCACATTAGTATTTCTTTGGTACCAGGTGCTTCACCCTGGCTTCCACACAGCAATGAGTAAGATCACGCAACATG